AAAAAAAAAAAAAAAAAAAACTACATATAATTCTAGCTACCCTGGAGGCTAAAGGGAGAGAATCACTTGAGTCTATTAGTTTGTGACTAATCTAGGCAACACAGCAAGATCCCATCTCAAAAGAAAAAATGAACCAGGTACTAGTGGCTCATGCTTGTAATCTTAGCTTCATGGGAGGCTGAGATCTGAGGATCAAGTTTGAAGCCAGCCTGGGCAGAAAAGTTTATGAAACTTATCTCCAACTAACTATCCAAAAAGCCAAAAGTAGATCTGTGGCTCAAGTGGTAGAGTGCTGGCCGTGAGCAAAAAAAAAAAGCTCAGGGACAGTGCCCAGACCATGTTCAAACTCCTGGACTGGCTCCCTCCTTCCCCCCCCCCCCACACACAAAGTACTTGCTAGCATACATGGACAATGCCCTGGGCTTAAATCCTAGCACCAAAAGTCACCATTGAAGACATCTTTTTGAGCACCAGGCAGTGGCAGGAGTTACCTAATAATACCAGCTGATGGCTTTGGGACTTTGGGGTAATTTCTGGGAGCTCCTGGACTTTCCATTGGATGAATAATTGCTTATTCTTATATTGTTATCTATTGCTTTTCTGTGTGTGTCAAGCTGATGCTGGAAATCTTGTTCATCCATTCATTTGTTCATTCATTTTATCTTTGTTGAGCCACCCTCCCAGGCCCTGGTACTTCTTTTTATTCAGAAGAAAAACCTGGCCTGTTCATGTCAGATGCTTTCTTTCTTCCTGTTTCCTTTTTATCTCTCATGGGAAATGTAAAATTCTTGAATTGTAATTTATTCCATAGATGACTTGTTTTGTAACTTTGTCTTGAAATTATTTCAAACATAACAAAAGTTGCAAGAACAGTACAAAGAATCCTTGTAAACATTTCCTCCGGATTCACCAACTGTTCACATTTGACCAGGTTTGCTTTATCTCTCCCCCTTTCAACTTCCTCTCCCTCCCCTGCTCTCTGTGTATACAGACAGCCATGCGCTTGTCTTTTTCTCCCTGAATTATTAGAAAGTAAGTTGTACAAATACAGGACATTCGTCCAAGATCTGGAAATTTAACCTAGACATAGCACCTATTTGTCATCTACAGTCATATTTAGGTTTTTGCCAGTTGTCCCAGTAGTGTTGTATTTATCTGTTTTTTTCAGTCCAAGAACCAATTTAGGATCCCTCAGTAATCATAAGAAATAATTGCTGAAAACAAGTTAGCATCATCTAGCCCTTTGCTCTCTCTTCCTTGGTGAACATGCTAATGGGGCAAGTGGTAAGCATTGTTCTCAAAAATATTAGCCATTGCCAAAACTGTGTACCTACTACACTAGCCTAGAAATTTATCCCCTGGGCTTTGGTGTCTCCGTAGTCATCGCAGGTAGAAACATCAACACTATCTTCCTAGAATTAATAACATTTATCAGGAAATGAGGGCAAAGAGCATCACCAAGGTGGTGATAATGGAAGACCGTCATTTACCAGCCTCCCATCCTTCCTTTTACGTGGAATGCTTTGTGGTCTTTTCTGATTATATTTTTACTTTTTTTTTTTTTTGATGCTGGGATTAAACCCAGAGAGAAACAAACACCTCTTTTCCGGGAAATTAGCAAGACTCTTGGCTCCCATTTTATTTAGTCTGTAAATTGCATTTAAACCAGGGGCTTATCTCCTAGAACAGATAAAGAGAATAATTTACCTCCAAAGTAAGGCAACTCTGCTTATTCTTGCTTATGATTTGTAAGCCTGGCAGCTACCCCTCCACCTTCCACAAATCTCTTAGTCCTAGATCCTCCCTAAGAAATGTTCTGGAAAGTTCCCTGGGGACTGTTTGTGGCTTTTTTTGTATAATGGGTACTTTGTACTAAACCTAAAACACTACTTAGAAAAATAACTACTCTTCAGACTCTTCAGAATGTTGCAAAATAAGGGAGAGTCTGGAGAAAGAAATTGCATAGGTAAAGTTATGGAAAGCTACCTGGATCATTGCTACCATGATTTCTCCTCCAAGCCCTTGAGCTATTGTTTTAGGACCCCATTTTTCATATCTGGTTTATAACTAGCAGCATATTATTTACCCAGGTGGCATTAAGACTTCAATTATGAACCAGGAAAGCCAAGTAGATCCAAACATTTTCAGTTTTATTGAAAAAGTTGGACACTCATTTTAAATGTATGTCATTACTGCAACTATGTAAAAAGTAAAATTCAGTGTAAAAAATCCTGGTAAGAAGTGCATGACAGTGAACACCAACCTTTCTTGCATTGGTGAATATTTTCTCTGTGCTTTAGTTTTTCCATAGCCCTCTTATTTTCTATAAGGCTGGATTGTTTTACATATTTTAAAAAACCCATAACTAGGGTCTTCTAATGATTTTGAAGTCCTTTATATCTTCTTTCCTCTTTGCTTACAAATTCCACGGTGAGTAGTTGGTTGACAGTTTGTATGCGGTGACTTAATATGTTTGCCTTTTCAATCCTAGGTATTTATCTTAGAGAAATATTTAGAGATATGACCAAAGTGTTTTGCTCATGTTCTTTTTATTGTGTGTGCCAGTTTTGGGGCTTGAACTCAGAGCCTGAGCACTGTCCCTGAACTTTTTGCTCAAGGCTAGTGCTCTACCTCTTGAGCCATAGCTCCACTTCTGGCTTTTTTTTTGGTAGTTAATTGGAAATGAGAGTTTCATGGACTTTGCTACCCAGGCTGGCTTTGAACCGCAATCCTCAGATCTCAGCCTTCTGAGTAGTTAGGATTATAGGTGTGAACCACCAGCATCTATCTCTGCTCATGCTTTTTTTTTTTTTTTTTTGGTCTGTCCTAGGGCTTGAACTCTGGGCCTGGGTGCTGACCCTGTGCTCTTCAGCTCAAGGCGAGTGCTCTACTGCTTGAGCCACAGAACCACTTCCGGTTTTCTAGTGGGTTCATTGGAGTTAAGAGTCTCACAGACTTTTCTGCCCGGGCTGGCTTTAAACTGTGATCCTCAGATCTCAGCCTCCTTAGTAGCTAGGATTACAGGCGTGAGCCACCGGCACCTGGCTCTGCTCATGCATTTTAATAAGGCTATTTTACTTATAGAGGTTGAAAAAAACTGGAATATTTAGCAATATGTTTAAATCCAATGGCATTATAAGTAGTAAAATAATTTTAACTGAAATTTAATGATGGAAAAATACAAACTAATAGTAATTTTAAAAAATTATCAAACTCTTTATCTCCAATAAACCACTCAGAAAACTGGAAGTGGCTCAGTGGCTCAAGTGGTAGAGTGCTTGCCTTGAGCTGAAGAGCTGAGGGACAGCGCCCTGGGGCCCAGAGTTCCCAAGTCCCACCACAGACAAAAAAAAAAAAAAATCAAACTCTATTATATTTGATTCTGTTTTACCTTGTGAAATATACTATAAAGAAACCCAAGGTATGAAAATAGAAGCTTCTGTGACTGGTTAGAATTCTGGGGTAGAAGCATGCTGGAACCATGGTATTTGATACATTCTGACTCCTGAAAAGATTTACAGCCTAAAAAAGGTGTTATTCCATAAGTCTGGCCTTTAGTTGGTGAAGATTCAGTTTAAGAGTACTTGGGGCAGGGAGGTGGGGGACTGGGAACTTGGCTCAGTGGTAGAGTGCTTGCCTTGCATGCATGAGGCCCTGGGTTCAATTCCTCAGCACCACATAAGCAGAAAAAGCCAGAAGTGGTGCAAAAAAATAAAAAAAGTACTTGGGGAAAATAAAATTAATATTTCTTTTTGTTTTGTCAGTTGTGGGGTTTGAATTCTGGGCCTAGGTGCTATCCTTGAGTTTGTACTGAAGAATGAAAGGCTAGTGTTCTACCACTTGAGCCACAATGCCACTTCCAGTTTTCTGGTGGTTAATTGGAGATAAGAGTCTCTCCGACTTAACTGCCAGGGCTGGCTTTGAACTGCAATCCTCAGATCTCAGCCTTCTGAGTAGCTAGGATTACAGGCATGAGCCACCGGCACCTGGCTAAAATTACTATTTCTAAGCAGGTGGGGGGGGGGTGGGGAGAGACCCATGAAAAATAAGAAAGGGACTCACACAGTATTTGTTGGAATTATGGATAGTAGTTTTGTCCTTCTGTATTTGAGATTTTTCACCATGAACAATACTTTTTCTTCTCTTTTCTTTTCTTTTTTCCTCCTTCCCTCCCTCCTCTTTCTTGTCTTCGCTTTCCCTCCCTCCCTCCCTCCCTCCCTCCCTTCCTTCCTTCCTTCCTTCCTTCCTCCACAGGGCCCCACTTTGCTAAATGTAAGATTCTTTAGCCTCAGCCTCCCAAGCGCTGGATTATATGCATGCTGTGTCATGGTTAAATATTCCTTTTATAGTTAAAAAAATGTTTTTGGAGGAGAAATGAACCTTTTATTTTGAAGTTTGAGAGATTGAATCCAAAATCTCACACATGCTAGCCAAGTGCTCTACTACTGAGCTAAACCCCAATTCATTGTCAGAGTCTGGTTCAGACAGCACTTCATCTTTGAGCTTGTCTTGGGCACCTGGGGAGCAGTGATGTTGCTTGTCCAGGCTTCTAGAGCACATTACACTGCCTGGACTCTTACCTCTGACCCTGTATTACAGTCATTCAGTGCCTGAGTATCCCAGACAGTGCTTCCTCATCTCTCTGCCTCTAAATTCCCTCTGTAAACTAGCTTGTATATAAAGCTTTTTTTTTCCTTTTGTTTTTTCCTTTTAATTTTTTTCTTCTCTTTTTTTTTTGGTTGGTTGTGGGACTTGAACTCTGGGCCTGGGTGCTGTCCCTAAGCTCTTCAGCTCAGGCTAGCACTCTACCACTTGAGTCACTCATCACTTCCTGTTTTCTGGTGGTTTATGGAGATAAACCACAGAAGGGGCTGGGAAGGTGGCTCAGTGGTAGAGAGCTTGCCTTGAACTGAAGAGCTGAGGGACAGTGCCCAGGCCCAGAGTTCAGGCCCCCCACCGGACCCAAAAAATAAAAATAAAATAAAGAATCTCACAGACTTTCCTGCCTGGGCTGGCTTTGAATTGCAATCCTCAGATCTCAGCCTCCTGAGTAGCTAGGATTACAGACATGAGCCACTGGCACCCAGCTTTTTCTTTCTTTTAAGAAATAATGCCAGGGGCTGGGAAGGTGGCTCAGTGGTAGAGCACTTGCCTTGCATGCATGAGGCCCTGGGTTCAATTCCTCAGCATCACATAAGCAAAAAGAAAAAAGCCAGAAGTGGCGCTATGGCTCAAGTGGTAGAGTGCTAGCCTCGAGCTGAAGAGCTGAGGGACAGCACCCAGGCTCAGAGTTCAAGCCCCATGACTGAGGGAGGGAGGGTAAAGGGAGAGAAGCTCTGGCATTATTTCTTTGTTTGTGTGTGTGTGTGTCTGGCATTATTTCTTGTGTGTGTGTGTGTGTGTGTGTGTGTTGGGCCTGGGCGCTGTCCCTCAGCTCAAAGCTAGCACTCTACCACTTGAGCCACAGCATCACTTCGGGATTTTTCTGCTTATGGGTGCTGAGGAATCGAACCTAGGGCCTCATGCATGCAAGGCAAGCACTCTACCACTGAGCCACTTTCCCAGCCCCCAATATCAGAGCTTTAACCCAAAGCCTCACATATGAAAACTATGTGCTCCATCACTAAACTACATGCTCAGTCCCTAATAAACATTTTTGGATATATACAATCCTTATAGAGTAGAGGTGTAGTTTAAAAAACATTGAGGGCCAGGCATGGTGGTATACACCTATAATCCCATCACTCAGGAGTCTGAGGCAGGAGCATCTCAAGTTCAAAGTCATCCTAGGCTACATAGGGAGATCTTGTCTCAACCAAAACCACCAATTGAAACAATAACAACAATAAAAAAATCCTTGAAATATTCTTGGCCTTTATTGACAAAAATGTTTTTTTCTTGATATGAAATGTAATTAGACATGCAATCTGCTATAATTAATATATGAAATATAATGAGACATGCAGTTACATGTACTGTAATTTTTATTACGGTAAAATGTAATACAAAAATGTACCATTTTAGTATTTTTAATTTTAAGTTTCCTAGAGCTATTGTGCAGCCAGTCTCCAGAACTCTGCATGCATGCAACTTTTTGGTTGTATCTAGTTTCAGAAGTCACAAATAGAATGGGCTAAGGATGTAGTTCAGTGGTATATCACTTGCCTAGCCTGCACAAGACCTGAGTTTGATTGCCAGCATGCCAGAAAAAGAAAACAGAGTAACTGAGGTTCAAAGGATATACCCTGTGAATGTATGCTTTCAACAAATTTAAAAGGGAGACAAAGGAAAAGCAGTTTTGAAGCAAGTAGTCCAACATCTCACCTACTTATGTACACCCTGATTTGGGTTCAGACCCCAGTCAGATGAAAATACCAATGTGTGTTTCCAAGATAGCATTGTCATCATTTAGCTTTTTCTTTTTCTTTTCTTTTTGTGCTAGTTGTGGGGCTTGAACTCTGCCTGAGCACTGTCCCTGGGCTTTTATGCTCAAGGCTAGTGCTCTACCACTTGAGCCACAGTTTCACTTCTGGCTTTTTGGCGGTTAATTGGAGATAAGAGTCTCATTGGCTTTCCTGCTTGGGCTGGCTTCAAACCAGGACCCTCAGATTTCAGCCTTCTGAATAGCCAAGATTACAGGTCTGAGCAACTGATACCTGGTGAAATCATTGAGCGTTTATTCCTGGCTGCAATGGGAGGATGAAACTCCTTTCCCTGATTTCTGGATTATATGCAGGCAGTTTGCGTCAGTGACTGGGACAGAGCCTCCCATCATGCTGTTGAACGGTGATTCTGCCCTTGACTGACCTGCTTAGAGAAGGTCTCTCATTGGGTCAATGAAACTGATACTCCCTTTGAGTTCTGAGGCAAAACCCATTTATAGTTTCTTTAAATCTTATTTCTTTCAGTTTGCAAATCTCACAAACAACAGGTTATCAGAAATTTTTCTTCTTATTTTTTCCTGGAGTCCTGATACAGAATGTTACTTCTTCAACAGATTATCAGAAAATTTACTTATTCCTTCCTGGAGACTTGATACAGCATGTTACTTCTTGTTGTGTTTCCTTTCATGGTTCAGCCCTCTTTGGCTTGCAGTAGGACTCATATCATCCCATCATCCCAGATTATAAGTGCTGGTTAAAAATTACCGTTCAGGGTGCTTGCTCTCATCTGAAGAAGGAACACTCAGTTCCAGGACAGGCCACTGTGTACCCAAAGAATGTCCTTGGTAGCTGTCAGAGATGATGGACCTGGTAGCGGTTGGCTTTGACTCTGCAAGTTTTTGCCCATATGAAATGAATTTTTTGGAGAGGTGCCTCTGAGTGGTCCCTCCATTCATCTGATCACCAGAGTCTTCTGAGGTGGTTTTCTCTGTCTCTCTCTCTCATTCTTGCTATGTCTCCCAGCTGGTTTCTTATGCCACAGCCTCCCAAGTAGCTAATGTAGCAGATATGTAACACCATGCCTGGCTGATTACATTTCTTTTTCTTATCTAGTTTTTGGTGGCACTGGGAATTGAACTCAGGGCCTCATGCATACTGCCATTGAACTACATTCCAGCCCTTGATCTTTATACTTTTGAAGGATCATAAAACAAAATAAAGAAGTACATACAAACCTGGTTGTTGGTGGCTCACACCTGTAATCCTAGCTACTCAGAAGGCTGAGATATAAGGATGAAGATTTGAAGCCAGAGACTGGGCAGAAAAGTTCGTAAGACCCTTACCTCCAATTAGCAACCAAAAAGCCAGAAGTGGAGGCATAAGTGGTAGAGCCTTCCATGATTCAGGGAGGGGAGGGGGCGGGAAAAACCTGGCAAGAACTTAAGGCTTTGATTTGAAGCCCCAGTACTAGAACAACAAAAAGAGAAAAGAGAATTCCCAAGAAACTCAGGTTACTAATAATATTTTCCTCTTTTGTTTTTCTTTTAGGTAGTTGTGTCTATGCTAACTTTATAACCATTTTCCCCCTTTCTTCTCTCTCCAAAGAAATACAACCCTTCAGACCCTGCCTTTGCCTATGCACAGCTGACCCATGAAGAGCTGATCCAGCTGGTCCTCAAACAGAAGGAAACCATAAGTAAGAAGGAGTTCCAGGTCCGAGAGCTGGAAGACTACATTGACAATCTGCTAGTCCGGGTCATGGAAGAAACTCCTAACATCCTTCGCGTTCCGGCTCAGGTTGGCAAAAAAGCAGGAAAAATTTGAATCACCAGAACCAAACACCAAGATGGTTTTGTGAGCCTGTTTCTACCAGCCCTTGATATCAGGCCTTGGACTGTCTCATAACCAGCCAACAGACAGCCTACCAGTCACCATCTCCCTTGCATCTTATCTGGAGAGAGTTAATTCTACCAGCTGAAGTCAGATTAATTATACAACAAATCTTTTACTGTACATTCCCAGGGTTTTAGTTTTAATTGCCACTGTGCCTTTAATTGGGTTAGAAGTACTTTATGCCCACCAGAGATATAGTCAATAAGAACTGATCCTGAGCCAGAGGTTCGGATGGTACCATAAGTACTGATATTTTAACACTGAAGTGATTATTCTTCCATAATGAAACTTTTTGAATACTAATCTCCAGCCATTAAAATTTAGAATGAAATGAGAAAGTGCCCCTGAATTTGGTGCTGAGTTTTGCCTACTTTCTTGTTCTTTGAGCAGCTCAAGTATGTGACTTTTCTGCTGTAGATTTAAATTTTTGATACCAAATAAATTGACTAGGCTTCTCAGATTTTTTTTGGGGGGGGTTAGGAAGGGACTGGAAAAGAACTTCTGTGTGTGTGCCTCTTTCAAACATCAGTAGCCATCATTCTCTAGCCTTAACATATGACCCACAGGATCTTCTCCTAGATACTTAGAGAAGAATAGGCATTAAAGAATTGCTTTCACTCGGTTGGGGGGGAATTCAGTGAAAGCTCTCCTCTGGTGACAGGTGAGTATCTGCTGGCTCCACTGGCCTGTTTAGTGCCTTCACCCTCATAAGGGATGGGTAAGCCTACTAAGACAGTTCTAGGTTATAGAGAACTATTTCAATAAGTCCCTTTAGCTATTTCCATTAGTGCTTTTGCTTGGCCTGAGCAGCATTTCCTGGAGGGCAGCGGGGCCCATAGATGAAGGGTGGGCCAGGCTGAGGATGTGGCTCAGTAGTAGAGAGCTTGGCCAGTATGTGTGAGGCCCTGGGTTCCATCCCCAGCATCACATATCTTGCCTCCTGAATACCTTGCTTAAAAGGAAATCCAAGTTATGTCTTGGATATAGAAGATACAATGAAGGATTTAATATAGTTAGTAAAATTTAAAAGGCAGTAGAGAACAGAAATGCCTTAGCTTTTAAATGGTTGCATCTTTTTAGATAATAGATTCACAGATATTTTACTCTTTGGTTAGAGGAGCAGGGCTGGGGTATAGCTCAGCTTACTTATAATGGCGTGAAATGCTGGATTTCTCCCTAGCACCATAAAAATCAAATAAAAAAATTACAAGTAGCAAGAAGATGATACTTATTTTTTGATTGCTACTTTGTTTTTTTGCGTCAAGGATTTACTATTAGGCCAGGCTAGCCTCAATGGATGCTCCTGCCTCAGCTTCCCAAGTGCTGGAATTACAGGTGTATGTCATACACCTGGGTGGGTTGCTATATTTTACAAACTAGGTTAATATGCATGTATATTTTTAACTAGGGCACTGGGCCCTTTCTTAATAGCACCACATCAGATTTTTAGGATAATAATTTCACTACTGGTCACCTCATGCTTGAATTAGAAAGTTTTGTTTTGCTAATTTTTTTTTCCCTCCTGGTTGTAATAGAATCTCAAGTCTTGACAATTCTCTTGGGAGAAAAATTATGTCAGGCCAGTGTCGAGGGCAGGCTTGAGAGTAAATTTAGAATCTCTTCTGTGAATGCTCTTGTCATGTAGAGGGTAGAAAGCAAGATGGCTGGCAGCCTAAACCCTTTTCAGGATTGTGCTTGCCATGACATTGTTTAGATTGGAGCACTTTAATATGAAGGTAACACTGTATGTTCATCTAGCTTACTGGCTTTTAATGACACACAGCTATTTAATTTAATTTAATTCTCTCCTACAGTACCAGGGAAACACTGTAAACTTCTCAGATGACTTGTATTTTTATAGTGCTATGAAAATTATTGATAAGCCTGTAATGAAAATTGTCTACTCGCTTGAACTCTGAAAATGTATATGGATATGTATCTGTTCTGCATCCTGTTGTTGTTGTTGTTTTTTACTTGATATAACTATATTTGACTGTGACAACCCAAGGGCACTGGGGAGCAGGTGTGCTTAGCTTCTCTTCCTTGGAACGGATGAGGTATGGACCTGCCTTGTTCATTAGGAGCTCAGAGATACCTGCTGCTAGGATCTGAGTATGTGGAGAGTCATCTAGCTGGAGGAGTGAATTCCTGTGCTCTGAAATGCCACTTGGGAACTCTGAAGAATGAAGGACAATTTACTTCATGGGTGTCTGGCTTCTGCCAGAGCTGGAAGAAATTCGTTAATAGCATTCCTGTTACCACATAACATAGATAACCTGGAGTTGCTAACTGTTGATTCAGTGTGGGCCCTGGGGAAGGGGTTTATTTAAGAGAAGCTGTACCTTGCTCTGCTAGCAGCAGAGGTCAGTGAATTGGAGTGTTGGAGCTCCTGGATCTGGCATATGCCAGTGAGCTTCATTTGGATGTCATCTTCAAGAAAAAGGTCACCTATGGCCCACTTGTTTCATAGCATCTCATTCCTTAGCAGATGTCCTGTTCTCCCCTTTTGTTTTCTTTCTCTTTCTCTCACCCTCCCTTCAGTTCTGGAGCTTGAACTTGGGGCTTTGTGCTGTTCCTTGGCTTTTTTTGTTCAAGGCTAGTGCTCTACTGCTTGAGCCACAGCTCTGCTTCTGGCTTTTTGCAGGTTAATGCCAGATAAGAGTCTCATTGATTTTCCTGCCCAGACTGGCTCTGAACTGTGAGCCTCAGATCTCACCATCTCCTAGTAGCTAGGATTAGAGGCATAAGCCTCTAGCTCCTGGCTCCCTCTCCTTCTTAATGTGGTCATCTTAATGAGGTGATGTGCTCAGTAGCTGTGGACCAATAGAGGGCTGTTCGTGTCCACCTGCGTGAATGAGGTGAGCTGTCTGCCTCCCAGCCGGAAGTACAGCACTGCAGAGAAAGAGTCCATGATGCTTTATCACCTATTGTATTGAGTCAAAGACCTGTTAATGTTGAAATATTATGAGATCTTTCTTCCTTGCATCCCTTCTCCCAGCCAGCCTTTTCCCTCTTTCCTTCCCTTCCTTTCCCTCTGGGAGTTGGACCCAGGGCTCTGTGCAAGCTTAAGCACATGCTATACCACTGCGCTACACCTTAGCTCCAATGTTTGTTTTTCTTCTATAAGGATCCCCCAATGCTGAAAAATTGTTTTAGATGGAGAACTCAGTCTCCTAGGATCTGTACCATTCTCAATTCTGGATTCTCCTATTTACTATGTGAGTTACTAAATTGACTTTCCCTTCCCTACATTTGAAGGATTGCCCAGTGTTTTTGGATTATAGGATTATTATTTCTGCTTTATTACTTTGGGAGGTTTGAATTTCTTTTTTTTTTTTTTTGGTCGGTCGTGGGCCTTGAATCCTGGGCCTGAGTGCTGTCCCTCAGCTCTTCAGCTCAAGGCGAGCCCTCTACCACTTGAGCTACAGCACCACTTCCGGTTTTCTGGTGGTTTATTGGAGATAAGAGTTTCATGGGCTTTCCTGCCTGGGCTGGCTTTGAACCGTGATCCTCAGATCTCAGCCTCCTGAGTAGCTAGGATTACAGGCGTGAGCCACCGGCGCCCTGCGTGAGGTTTGTATTTCTTTGGTTGTGTTTGTAAGAAGTAACCTAAAGTTTCCTATAACACTAAATAAAATGGTACTACCTTTCGAAGATCTGTGTTTGCATTTTAGTGGATGTGTGATGTTTCTTCTGCCTTGCTGGAAAACTTCTTGGAGTGATGTGACAAGTTTCTCATCCCATGGGGATCTGTCACTTGAGCTGCTTCTACTTTGTACCAGGGTACCTCCACCTCCCACCCTCCAACTCAACTGTTTGTTTTGGTTTGGGGGTGTTTTGGTGCTGAGATTGAACCCAGGGTCTTTTGCATACTAAGTAAGTGAAAAGGTAAAGACAAAGTAAAGAAAGACATAGATACCTGTAGAGTTTTCTAAGTAACATCATAACATGTTCTTGGAAAAGAGAATGAACAACAAAACTTGAGAGGTGCTACTCCCATCTCTCACCAAGGCCAAAGGGTCAGCAGTACAGTCATCCTTAGCCCTTGAGCCCAAGCCCAGTATCTAAACAAAAGATCAGGCACTATCTTTTGGGCCTGGGAGTCTTGCTTTCTGATAGGGCTCCAGCCATCACTTCCAACTCAAGACTGGCTTTCTTGGCCCTGTGAGGCTACCATCTCCCAAGCCCCAAAATTCTTGAGGCCAATGTCCTCAGCCTTTTGACTCTCCACTGTTTTACACAGAAACCTGTTTATTGAGCCCTGGGAAGTGTTTCCTTGGTAACACAGACAGGCTCTCACAGTGTTGTGGAAAGGCTGCCTTTATCCATATGTGTCAAATATTCTCTTTAGGCTAAGCCTTGACTGCAACAGGAAGACTAGAAGGCCAATATGACTTCTTGCCATTTGCTTAGCACCTAACTACTATTTCTAATACTTGTCATGATAAATGATGATCCATTAGGCATATAAGAAAACTGAGAAGGTTAACTCTGAATGTTAGTTTGTTGAAGCACACCAGAGCAGTTAAGTAAGGATTTAGCATGCTGTGTGTCTGTGTGTGTGGTCTAGGAGGGGGAAGATCGGGATAAATGATTCATAAAAATAATTCAGAAGGAACTTTGAGGACAGTAAACACAATCTAAGAAATCCTGGGGCTGGGAAGGTGGCTCAGTGGTAGAGCGCTTACCTTGCATGCACGAGGCCCTGGGTTCAATTCCTCAGCACCACATAAGCAAAAAGAAAAAAAAGCCGGAAGTGGTGCTGTGGCTCAAGTGGTAAAGCACTAGCCTTGAGCTGAAGAGCTGAGGAACAGTGCCCAGGCCCAGAGTTCAGGCCCCACGACTGGACCCCCCAAAAAAGAAAAAGAAATCCTGGTCACGTACTATGATTCCACACCCTGGTTAGTGTTGGGAAGAATGAGTGTCACCGAAGAGCCAAGGTGGTGGGAAGGAAATCTAGTGAGAGGCTCCAAGGCCTGCCACAGCCACCAGGCTCAGGGTAACGATGAGAAAGTTTATTCCGTGCTCAGAGTGAAACTGGGTTAGTCACAGGTTCAGTCAAGTGAGCTGGGAGGAAGTCAGAGGTGGTGCCTGGTTACAACCCTTGAGGACAGCCAGGCTCTGTCTCAGAGATTACCTACTCTAGATTAGAACGATCCTACCCCTTAAGAATTCCATCAATTTGGTGTTTTCACCAGAGTGGAACATTCTTTTGAATTCTGGCCTTCCCTGTGATGAGAAACCCAGGGAGGTCCCACACAAAGACTTGCAGATGAGAACATCAGCCAGGCCAACAACTCAATGGAATATATACACACCTCACCAGTGGAGGCTGGGCAAAGCTTCCTTCGGGTGGTAGGCCACCCTCCTTCAGTGCCTCCCTTTCTAGTCTTCCTTCCAGAAAGTCCTGACTTCAAGGCCAACGTTGCACATCTGGCTGTTTGGACTTTGCCAACAACCCTCCTTGAATTCTGGGCCTCAAGCTTTTGCTTGGCTTATTTTGCTCAAGGCTGGAACACTATACACTTGAGCCATATCTCCACTTGGGAGATTAACTGAACATAAGAGTCTCAAACTTTTCTTCTGGGCTAGCTTCAAACCTTTATCCTCAGATCTCAGCCTCCTGGGTAGCTAGGATTACAGGCCTGAGCCATGGGCACTTAAGGTACCAGTACTTGGGCCTGGAAAAGGTAATTATTCTTTGAATCTTTAAAGTTGTTGGTAGGAGGATCATAAAATTGCTGTTCCACCTTATAATAGGGAGAGTAGAACGACTACAATGTAAAAATCCTGGATTTTGCATGCCAATTCTAGGACTCAAACTCAGGGTCTTGACAAGGTTCTTGAACTTTTTTGCTCAAGGCTAGCTCCCTACCAGTTAAGCCATAGCTCCACTTCCAGCTTTTTGGTGGTTAATTGGAGAGAAGAGTCTCATGGACTTTCCTGCCTGGGCTGGCTTTGAATTGTCATTCTTACATCTCAGTCTCCTAAAAAGCTACAATTAACAGGCATGAGCCACTGGCACCTGGCAATTCTGGTCTGTAATTTTTTTTCTTGATATTCAAGATATACACGTGAAAAATCACACCAAAGAAAGCATCACAGTGTTCTGCTGCTATTCTGTGGAACAATGTAAAGAAATACTTCCTGTGCTAATTACATTGTTTTTAGGGACATGTTTCTCCTCCCCAATAAGAATGTTGAGCTTGCTAAAATGAATGGATGTCCCTGAGGGGTTATATGTCTTAATACTGACCTGCTAGACAACCAGCTATCAATCATCATCCATAGCAAGATCCATCCATGGGGCTGGGAAAGTGATTTAGTGGTAGAATGCTTGCCTAGCATACATGAAGCCCTGGATTCAATTCCTCAGTACCTCATAAACAGAAAAGGCCGGAAGTGGCGCTGTAGCTCAAGTGGTAGAGTGCTAGCCTTGAGCAAAAGAAGCTCAGGGACAGTTCAAGCCCCAGGACGGGCCAAAAGAAAAAAGAAAAAAAAATCCATCCAAGGCTACTGTGCTGAAACCCCTTTATGGTGTGGACAACTGATTCAAATTTAGGGAAGGTTTTTTGGAGATTACTGTATCCCTCAGCCAGTTGGAGGGAAAAGGAGCCTCCCATGCAGTCAAGCTCCATGATAGCGGATGAGAGTTCTCTTAAAAGGAGTGATTCTCACAATGAGTAAGCAATCTCTTGGGAAGGAAGTATGGATGTAGACTAGAAGGGATATGTTTTAAATTTTTTCTTTTCTAGGTTTCGTTATATAGCCCAGCTTGGCCTCATATCTTTCTACCTCAGCCTCCCAAGTGCTATGATTATCATGCTTGGTATCTGTGTTTGTTTTGTTTTTTTATGTGTTCCTCTTCAACTGTGAAGACTATCTTCTGAAATGTTTTAGAAATACTTTTCAACAACATTCTTCATCAAAGGCTGTTAGCAATCTCACATAATCCTTATATGGAAAATTTAATGGTGTCAGTTTAACTGCTTTTTGTTCATGGGTCAACAGATAACATCCAGTACATGAATTTAGGACTACATACAACACATTTGAATTTTTTTTTTTAATAGTAGGTCGTGGGGCCTGGGCGCTGTCCTTTAGCTCTTTAGCTCAAGGCTAGTGCTCTACCACTTGAGCCAAAGCACCACTTCCGGCTTTTTCTGCTTATGTGGTGCTGAGGATCAAACCCAGGGCCTCACGGATGCAAGGCAAGCACTCTACTACTGAGCCACCTTCCCAGCCCAAAAGATTGTGGTGTTTTTTTTTTTGTCAGTTGTGGGGCTTGAACTCTGGGCCTGGGCGCTGTCCCTCAGCTCTTCAGCTCAAGGCTAGCGCTCTACCGCTTGAGCCGCAGCACCACTTCCAGTTTTCTAGTGGTTTATGGGCGATAAGAGTCTCATGGACTTTCCTGCCGGGGCTGGCTTTGAACTGCAATCCTCAGATCTCAGCCTCCTGAGTAGCTAGGATTATAGGCATGAGCCACCGGCACCCGGCTAAGACTGGTTTTTATTGGAGGCTTTGTGGTGTACTATAGTAACTTTGGAATTACAATCTTGGAACATCTTGTTTGTAGTGGTTTGGCAGTCCTGGACTTTGAACTCAGGGCTTTACATTTGCTAAACCAGTATTCTCTCCTTGAGCCAGGCCCAGCTCCCCCTTTTTTGGCTAGTTCCTGGGGCTTGAATTCTGGTCCTAGGCTCTGTCCATGAGCTTCTTTTGCTCAAGACTAGCGTTCTACCACTTGAGCCACAGCACCACTTCTGGCTTTTTCTGAGTAGTTTATTGAAGATAGGAGTCTCACAGACGTTCCTACCTAGGTGCCTCCAGCCCTTTTTGCTCTCATTATTTTTGAGATATAGTCTTGATTTTTGCTTGGCCAACCTAGAACCACGATCTTATTTATGCTTCACATGTAGCAGGAATGAAAGATGAGCAACACTGTGCCCTTTTGCTAGGTTGGGATGGGAGTCTTGTGAACTTTTCTTCCTGGGCTGGCTTCAAACCACAGTCCTATCAATCTCAATGTCCCAAAAGGCTAGGATTCTAGATTATTATGTGAGTCATCACACCAGATTGGATTTTGGATAGTCTTAAAGCTCAAAGTTTTAAATGCATCTGTATAAATCTGCTTGCACCCTCCATTTTGCCAAAAGCCTAACTAAACCAAATTATTTCACTTCAAAGTCCATTTAGGCATTCCCTGCCTGGCCTCTGAAGCTATCTTGAATTTGCCACCCCAGATTCTAATTCAATTCCCTCAATTTACAGTTGAGAAAAACAGACATTTAAGAACAGAAGATGAGCCGGTGGCTCCCGCCTGTAATCCTAGCTACTCAGGAGGCTAATCAGAGGATCCAGGTTCAAAACGAGCCCGGCAGGAAAGTCTGTTGGACTCTTATCTGCAATTAACCACCAGGAAACCGGAAGTGTCGTTGTGGCTCAAGTGTTCACCTGGAGCTGAAGAGCTTAGGGATAGCGCCCCAGGCACAGAGTTCAAGCCCCACCACCCACATAAAAAGAAAAGAAAACAGACAAAAAATGGAAGAAGCTGGGTGCTAGTGGTTCACTGAAAATTGGGGATCATGTTCGAAGCCAACTTGGGCAGGAAAGTTCGTAAGACTTTAATCTCTAATTAGCTATCAAAAAGCCAGAAGTCAAGCGAAGCTGTGGCTCAAGTGGTATCGCATTAGACTTGAGTGAAAAACTCGAGGACAGCACTCGGGCCCCAGAGTTCAAACCCCAGGACCGGCAAGAAGGAAGGAAGGAAAGAAGGAAGGAAGGAAGGGAGGGAGGAAGGAAGGGAGGGAGGGAGGGAGGAAGGAAGGAAGGAAGGGAGGAAGGAAGGGAGGGAGGGAGGGAGGGAGATTGGAAAAGGTAGAAAGGAACTTACCTATGCAAACAGCTCGGGAAAACAGAGCACAATTTCTCTTACTACCGCATTCTACTTTTAGCGATTTCCTACTAAGACCAAAATCAACATTTGTTACCACAGACAATGGAAAACCTGCGATTCCACTAGC